TATATATTCATTATGCTGCTTGGGACATCCAGAAATACATGAGAAAATGGCAAGATTCTCATTATTTTCAGCATGAGCAGCTTCTAGGAAAAACAACAATTCACGGTCACTGCAGATATTAGATATTTTTAACAAATTAGATTTCCTGTGTAGAGAAGACAGGAAAAAGGAGACAATAATTTCAATATAATGCGTAAACAGGAGAAAAGGTAAACTTGCCATTTTAACCATATACAAAATATATCAAGCCACTTACAAAATTACTTACTTATACATAATTTTAAAACTGGTTATTTTTTTAAAAAAAACTGCTGCTTTTCAGATGCATCAAGCCAGGACGTTTCACAGCAAAGACAAGGAGAAAGGCATTTCTAAAAGTGAAGCATAGCACTGCTTTTCATGTCCATTTCATCCTATCAAACAGTAATTTATTTTCAAATAACATTTGAGAAGAATCCTGCTGGGGTGGATCAACAACCCATTTAGTCCAGCACTTTGTATCACATAATGCTTGACCAAATGTTTTTTGGAAGCTTATAAACTTGGACAGGAAGGTGATAGCTCTTCTGCACTGTTATTCTCTGACAGCTAATATTCAAGACAAACAATCCTTGATTCTGGAACTAGCAGCCATCAAGATAAGCACCCCTTGATGGCCTAACACTCCATGGATATGTTGTAGGCTTACCATATCCGGGTCACAAACAACTGAATGACCGGCCACTAGATGGTGGCAAAGACACACAGAAAACTAAGTCTTTGGGCCCAAGGCATCTGGATTTTTGCAGCCCAGATCTGGGGGCTCTATACATACAATTTACTTTTAAAACCATCTAAAAAATTGGCCATCACTACATGTGACAGCAGCAAATTCCACAGCTTATAAAAAAACTATTCTCTTATTCAATACTAAATGTCTCTGTATTCACTTTTAATACATGGCTCCAAGTTATAACATTTCAAAGGAGAAAAGCTATCTATCCCCTTTTTGTATCACACAATCTTATGTAAATTAACATGTGTGAATCTAACAATTATGATTTGTAAAGCATGGCTTATGGTTGTGTTATATGAACTCATCCACTTGTGGTTTATTCAGTGAACACATCTTTAAACCAACTACTGTTTGGTATGTGTGAAATGATGAACCCATTTTTACAAAATAATGCCTTGTGTGCTCTGTTCCACCACTAGGGATGGCAAGGTAACAAAAAGGGGATGAGGTTTCTATACCTTTATAGCCAGATTCATACAAAACTCTAAGCCATAATGTAGCTTGTTTGGTTTTGCTTAGCATGTTGCATGAATCTGCTCAGTGGGAATGTTAACTTGTGGTTTATAGATTAATACGTTAACTCAGCCAATTAATTTATTCAAACCATGATAAAATAACCATGACTTAGCAACATACAAGTTACATTTGCTGAAATATCCCCTTCCTCTTAGGTATGAAAGATGCAGATATTCTTTTTATACCACTACCACAACCACCCACATTCATGTCTGCTCCAAATACATAAAAATCAGGAGAGGAAGCAGACAATAAACTCATTTCTCTGCTGAACACTGCTCAGAATGAAATATTCTGGTGAAGAATACAGACCTCACTTACCTATTCTTGCTATGTGGGACTACAATCCCCAATATTCCTAATCAGCATACCTTTAGCAAAATGGGATTAATACGAGTTATAGTCCAATAAAAACCAAGCAGGTGTAATTCTGTGCTTGAAATATAAGTGCATCTTGATCTCATGCCTTCTGTGATGGCTTCTTTACTTCTTTTCTGAAGAGTTTCAAGAAACTCTTATCTTCTGCCCATATAATTAAGAGGAGAAAGATTATTTATCTATTACATCAAACATTACAATTCACTAGCAGTTCTTGTGTAATTCTTGGTACTAGACTGAGACTTGGGGGCTACAGGTTGTACACCCAAGGAAAGATTGCAAATGGGTACAAGAGTTATAGTAGACCCCACTGAGCCAAGCAAAAGATGCTTCCAGATAGACATGTCAGTCACTGTGCTATTACTTTTGTATGTTACCACATCCCCTCTTCTTACTATCATAGGTTTAATACTTCCAGGAGATTTAAGCCCAGCATCAGCCTGCAAACTTCCTCCAAGTCCTTTCAGAGATCTCTTCCAGATCAGAATGAAGAGCTCTGCACACCAATTCTGAAACATATCAGTAGAGGGCTCTATACTCACATAATAATACACAATAAATACTGTTACAGATCAGTTTTGTAGGTGTTTGGATTTTCTATGGTGTCCTAACTCTGTTCTCGTTATTACTATTAGATTTTTATCCCACCTGTTTTATATATAACTCAAGACGATGAACATACCTAATACTCCTGCCTCCTATTTTCCCCTAACACCACCCCTGTGAGGTGGGTTGGGCTGAGAGAGTGACTGACCCAAAGTCTCACAGCCAGGTTTGATGCCTAATGGAGGCCTAGAACTTTAAGCTGTTGTCTTAAAAAGACTGTTTATTTTCACTGAGCTTTCCCTCTCCCATTTCACATTGTACCTTGCTTTCTGGCATTCAATTAAATCCTATGCAGGATGTTCTGAGTGTGGATGATCTAGTACAGTAAATATTTTGGGACTAGCAATTTTCATTGATTTACAGCATACCAGAAATCAAGAGGGAGCAGACTCATACAAAATGCAGAAATAAAGCAGATGGTCACAAACTCACCCCAAGTTAGGACAGTCTATTCTTCTATCATTTATTAGATTCCAGAATCCAGAATCCATCTACTAGTGGATGTGTGCAGGGTACCCTTACAACTTTATTAAATTTATATGCCGCCCATCTCCCCTCATTCCTAAATTTAATAGACCTATTCTTGCAGTAACATATACAGAATTACACAGTACGTCCTTCAAGTAGGAACTTTGGCTGAGATTGTACTGCCATTTTTACAATAGATCTCAAACCTATTTACGCTCAATGGGACTCTTCAATAACTATGGATAGAACAATTTTGAGGATTCAATGCCTATGCAATGATGCACTTCATTCCCAGGACTGCAACCCTGAATACATGCATTTGCTAGTACAGTAAGCCTTTGCAGTTATATCGGGACCCGCTTCTTGTAACACTTATGCATAGGATTTGATTGAAAACAGCAAATAAGCACCCTTTTTAGGGGCATGTGTGGGTACTTTCAAGTCAATCTCAACTCCTAATGATTGTCTGGACAAGTCCCTGCAGATTTCTTGGCAACATTTTCAGAAGTGGTTTGCCTTTGCCTTCTTCCTAAGGCTGACAGAGGGTGATTGGCCCAAAGGCACCCAGCTGGCTTCATGAATAAGGCAGGACTAGAACTCACAGCCTCCCAGTTTCTGGCCTGGTGCTTTTAACCACTACACCAACTGCCTCTTTTAGGAGCAGAATGTGTTAATCTTCAAATGTACTTTTTTGGACAATTCTTTTCATGCCCAGTCAACTTTCCTGAGTTTCCAGGAAGATAGAAACGAAATAAAATGTACGTTGACGGGGATTATGGGAGCTGTAGTCCAACAATCCCTGGTTCGTGGATTGCATAGGAAGTAGCCCCCACTGAATCCTAATAAGGAAACACGATTAACCGTACGAAAGGAGCGCTATGGAAGGTGACACAAATAAAGGGAAAACAATATACACGGGAAGGTAAGCAGGTTACGCAGCGCAGCTCCAAATTCAAATTACTTCGTTTTTTTCCCGGCACTCCAGCCCTATCATTCTCGAAAGAACGCAGAACAAATTTGCTCTTTATTACGACTTACAAAATATGGATTGCAAACACCCAGCCGACCAAGAGATGGCAGCAGACTTTTCTTGGTTTCCTTGCTGCCATCTAACGTTCGCAGCCCAGAGAACGTTGCCCGTTCAGCTACAGAATTTGCGCACGGGACGCAGCTTAGGTCAGGATGACTGCGCATGCGTAGTAAGAGAGGGACGTGCCTGGCCATTTTGCCATCATGGCGGGATCAAACTCTAAGGCGAGGCCGGTCGAAGCCGACCCATCAGGATGCCCTCCTCCCATGGAGGGGCTGCAGCTGATCCAGCAGGGGGCCGAAGCCCGCCTCTATCGGGGCCAATTCTTAGGCAGGCCGACGGTGATGAAGCTCCGGTTCCCGAAACGTTACCGGCACCCAACGCTGGACGAGAGACTCAGCCATAAGCGAACGGCGCAGGAGGCCCGTTCGTTGCTACGCTGTCGACGGGCAGGTGGGGGCGGGGTTTAGCCAGGGATTGGACAAGGCGGGAAGTGGGTGGACTCCTCCTGGCAGCCAATCAAGGAACAGCGGATCCGCGATTGTTTTCTTAAAGAATGAGTCAGGGCGTTTTTAAAAAGGCAACGATTTTCCAGTATTCTAAACGGGCTAAAAGGAGATCACTGGAGTAACCAAAACAGCGCCCAACTGACACACAAGACAACATAATGAATATTTACTGTCGCCTCTTTGAATATTGATCCCTTTTTACTGCAACTGGATTCAAAGTTTTTTACCTTCTCTTTATTGGAGGGACTGCCTGAAATTTGAATGGCTCTGGAAGCAGATCTGATTTTTAAAAAGGCAAATGTAATGGATAGGTTAAACACGTTTCAATGTGTCGTGGTTGGGGAAGATATGTCGCCTCCTCTTTTGAGTATTACAAAAATCCTTTTTATATAATACTATTTCAATTTTAATGTATTAATGCTATTGGCTGTGATCAGTTTAATTTCTCATAGACATGGCCATGATATGGGAAGCATTAGTGGTAGGAGGCCAGTGATGTACCAGGTATTTCCTGATCAATTACAGCTTGTGTTTTACATCTTTGCAGTTAAATTTACCAAAGTAGTTGGATATCAGACTGCTAGAAGACAGATATGTGCTTGGATTAATGACATTGCGAGCTTCATCCTCAGCTGTGGAAGCTCCCTGGGTGATTTGAGGCCAGCTGCTTCATCTCAGCCCATATCCCTCTTTGGAGGTGTTGGGAAAAATTGGAGGACAGAGTGCTATGTAAGCTGCCTTGAGCACCTGGAGGAAAGGCAGAATATAAGTTTTAATGAATAAAACATACACGTCAGCTTTAAAATTGGGGCTTTTTTTTCTGCTTGTGCTCCAGGCTTTTAAAAACATTTCTTAGCTATATCTTGTCAGTACTCTAGCATTCCCAGCTCCTCCTTTATATTTTCCAAATTCTTTAGCTTCTCAAAATAGCCAGCTGCAGATAACACGGCAATGTGTTGATTGTTTGGGTGTTTTAAAGCTCAAAAGCAAGAAAGATAATGCATACAATAGCACATCCCTGTGATAAGGTAAAGGGTAGAATGGTAACAGATTTGTCTGGATGAAGGATGAGCAAATGCTTTCTAATAGAACATTAGTCTATTTCCTAAGATTGTATAATTATATTGCATCCAAAGCTAATGGTTTTTTATTTTCCTTTTTTTAGGGATTTCTGCACCTGTTGTGTACTTTGTGGATTATGTTGCTAACTGTATATATCTTGAAGATGTTGTAGGATCACTTACTGTTCGGGACTATATCATCTCCCAGCAGCAATCTGGTGAAGGCACCAGCAGTCTTATTCTATTAGCTGAAAAGATAGGTGAGATATTGGCACGAATGCATGATGAAGACCTTGTACATGGGGATCTCACAACTTCTAACATGCTTTTGCGACCACCAGTGGAGAATCTGGAGTTGATGTTAGTAGATTTTGGACTAAGTTTTATTTCTACCCTTCCTGAGGATAAGGGTGTTGATTTGTATGTCTTAGAGAAAGCCTTTTTGAGTACCCATCCGAACACAGAAGCTCTGTTTGAAGCACTCTTGAAGAAATACTCAGCTGCATCTAAAAAATCAATTCCAGTGATTAAAAAACTGGATGAAGTACGATTAAGAGGAAGAAAAAGATCTATGGTTGGATAAAGAATGAAAACAATACAGGGAGAAAAGGAAGAGGAACTTTTTATATGTGCTTTAAATATTTCCACTTATGTCTGATAATAAAATTGAACTTGGCCATTTTCTTTATTTCATATTTATATAGTAGAACTTTTTTTTATTACTTGATTCAAATCCTATATGATAGCTGAAAAATTCAAGAACAGAAGTTGATATCTGCTTCTTTGTCATCTGTTTACTTTCCTAAATCAGTGGGAATTCAACCCACAGTTCCATCATAAGGATGTAAATCCCTGATATAGTATCTTATGCAGCCCAATCATGCAATTCAGGTAATTTAGGCCATTTCAAGATTGGCAGGTTCCTATTAATCTCTTAAGATTTTATTTGCATCACAGCCTTTTGTGCCAAAAGTATATTCATGGCATTAACGAAAATGCTGTTAATTTCTATGAAGTTGGATACTCCTAGGTCTGTTGAAATCAGTGGATTTAGACCAATTTTATTATGTAGTACTTGTATTCTCAACATGGCAATTGGATAGCAATATGCCTGTGAACGTTCTTGTTTCGTATCAGACTTCCTACTTCCTTGACTCCTTACCCCTTTGTTTACTATTTTTTTTTAATAAAAAACTGCATAGTACAAAACAAAACATTAGTCCCATCCTCATTTATTTCCAATAAAGCTTCTGATTTTCATAAGCTTTGGTTTCTGCATTCCAGTATCTTGTCTCGATACACATTCATCTGTCTAGAAGAAAAATAAAGATAAGTGTACTTAGTGGGGGGATGTTGCAGGTAGCATTCTGATATACGGGTAATTGGGAATGTCTTTCATAATAGCTCTTCTGTGAAAGGAACGACGTTCTTGAAATTTCAAATGTATGCATTTTTCCAGAGAGGCTGAGGATCATAGGTCTATCTTTCCGATAGCCAACTTTGAATCCAGTGGAGTTTGCTTCTAAATAGATCCATGGAGGATGGATTATCTGGCTGCAATTCTGAATCCTGGCAATTCTAACTTTAGTAGTGTTTTGTCTCTTTATTTTTGTTTATTGGGTTTTAATTTAAATGAATGTCCTATTAAAGCTAAGGGGAGTCATGTATCAGCTGTAGGGTTGATACAGATTAGATGCTAGTCTAGAGGCATATTGTCCAGGTTCACCACCATCATATTTTCCCCCTTCAAATGATGTCAGAACCACTTGAGGGCTTCCATGAAAGCCAAAAATAAAAAAGGTACTGATGTTGGATTTCCTCCAAAGTTGGAGCTTGTTTCTGCTCTCGGAAAAGGAAAAAATCTTACAGCCTATGATACCTTCTCAGAAACCACTGGAGCGCAACCTATTAAAGTATATATTTGTATAAATTATTAGAAATTACTAATAACATTTAGCAACTGCTTATTATGTTGCTGAAATAAAATGAATTCTGGAAGTTCGTTTAAGAACATGTAAACTGCATGTTTCCCTTTTCTCTTGCAGTAGCTGTTGCTGTAAACAGATGATACAAGACTACAGCATACTTTGGCAATTTTTTTTCACTATTAAAATTAATGGAATTTGGCAGATTTTCTTCTGCAAGTTTCTTGTAATAATTGCCTTGCAGGCAAATGCTCATCGACCAATATGCAGTTTTTCCCAGCATTAGAGGTGCAATTACAGAAAAAAATCTTTTACCTGTGCATTGCCTGCCTGTTATGAAGTTGTTACAGCAGGAGATCCTTAGTAAAGGAAAAAGAGTGGCAACTGAACGAATATGCCGTCTTCCATAAATGCTTTTTCTTACATCTTTTCTTTCTGTCCCATTTGGTAAACAATACAATACACAGAGCACTGAAGTCACATCATACATTAGGCTGTTTTTTATTTTTTTTCTTATAGCTCATTTTTGTGTGGATTTACTTCACACACAAAGTAAATCTCAGAGCACTGGGGTTCACTCCCATAGGCAGATGCGCGGATGCAAAGTTTGTGCAAATGGTCACCAAGGCGCCAGAAGGAGGAGAAAAATGATATGTATTAATAGAAGTGATATTCGCAGGTAGAAATGAGGTGTTTTAATTAAGAAAACTAATGCGAAAGGATTAGCTGCCCTCCCCGCATATATGAGGTCTCTGTATCACCTCCACCCTCTTTTAAAGGCTGCTGGATTCCTTCGGAGCGCTACACGGAAGTAAGCGCGTGCCGCAGCGTCCTCTTATGCGTCCAGTGCTTAGAATATTTGAGAACTCTCCCAGGAGATCTGGTGGTGGTGGTGGACAGGATTTACTTCTCTAGCGGGTTGCAAATGTCGAAATACCATCCAAGCTGCATTAAAGGCCACACGCAACGGGGGACGAAACTGATCGTCGCACCAGAAATGCCGAAAATGGAGGGGGAAAAAAAACCCCGAAAGAGATACGAGAGGCAAAGGAAGGTGATTGCAGGAACGAACGACACCAGAGTATATATAATACCGCCCACGAGACGCGTCGGCAGAATCCGCTTCCATTTTGCTCGCCTGAAGAGGCGCCCGCCGTTTCCCCAAACCCTGTGGCGCAGCGGCAACGAGCGAGCGGTTGCTGCAAGAACTCAGTGGGTGCCGAGTTCGAGACCGCGCTTTGCCGCCGTCTCCCTGCAAGCGTCCTAGCGCCCGAGACTGCTCGTGTCAGCGGCGTATTCACTTACTTGCTAGAGAAGCTGTTCCAGGCCAAGTGCCCGTTTCCCCGTGGATCCAGGGTTCCACCGGCCAGGGCATAATTTTAGCCCGCGGGGATCCCCTCTCCTGTTCCCAGTTGTTTCGGGCCCTTGCATCCGGGGGGCTGCAGTCGTCATCCCGTGCTCCAAACGAAGGACAGAACCTGCATCTTCTGTTCACCCCGATGCCAGCCTCATGCCTTTCTTTCTCAACCGGCATGTGCCCTTCCAACATTTTTTGTCAGAGGCAGATCTAGGCCAGTGCTTTTCAAACTTGTCCCAGAATTCCCAGGCCGGCCATGAATTCTGGGAGTTGAAGCCAACACAGGTCGCCAAGTTTGAAAAACACTGGTCTAGACTATAGAGCAGTGTTCTGTGGTCCCTGAGTCAGTACAAAAGTACTCTGGTTTAAAATGTGCTGCCCACATTAGTGGCCCCAATTCTATGATTAGGC